ACAATGATTTGTCCCCATTTTTTTCCCCTTAGAAGACTTGTCTCCTCAGTGCAAGAACAGTTTCTTACTCATTTCATATTGTTTTGCTAATTACATGATCTAAAAATTGCCAGGTATTAATAATATAATGAAATAATGAGTTCATTCTCCTTCCAAAAAATGGACAGAAAAGCACAGTAAGCTGTATGTAATACAATTCCTTCACTCATCCATTCAACAATTGTTTATTATTAAATACCTACTATGTGCTAGTCTGCTCTAGAGGGGCCTACATTCCCTTAGGGCTTAGGGAAACATGACATCGTGATGACAATTTCTACTGGTTTTCATAGACCAGACTGCTAAATACTCTCTGGTTTATTTTTTTTTTCACCTCCTTAAATGTATTTCTAGGTATGTTTATTTATTTGGAGACAGAGTCTCTCTCTGTGGCTGGGTCTAAAGTGCAGTATTGTCATCATAGCTCACTGCAGCCTCCAACTCCTGGGCTCAAGTGATCCTCCTGCCTCAGCCTCCCAAGTATCTGAGACTACAGGCATGCACCACCATGCCTGGGTAGTTTTTTTATAGTTTTTGTGGAGACGGGGGTCTCACTTGTTGCTCAGGCTGGTCTCAAACTCTTGGCCTCAATCAATCCTCCCATCTCAGCCTCCCAGAGTGCTAGGATTACAGGTGTGAGCCACTGTGTCCGGCCCACTCTTTATTTAGAATCCTTTGCCCACTCCTTTCATTGGCCAGTTAAATCACAATTAGGTACCAGGCTCAAACCAATGAGCCTTTACAGACCAGTCCCTTGATTCAGATACTTCCTCATTTGGGCTCATCTCTCTCATAGCATCTTACATTGTGTGCAAAAAAATCCTGTTTTTGCAACGAAACTCCAAGTTCCCTGCAGCAGGGACATAGTCATCTTAGTATCCCCATTATTTAGCATAGTGACTGATACTTAGCAGATGCTGAATAAATGTTTGAATTTATAAAAAATTAACTAAAAATGATTGAATGATGAAGAACAATGCTCCAATTAGGAATCAGCCAAGCTGCTGCTCAGTTCCAAAATGATTAAAAAACAGTAACTAAATTTAAGTTGAAAATAACTTCTAACTTTCTAATGAGCATATCTGAAAGAATTATTAATGTGCCAGAAAAGACTGTTCTTCACAATTGAGAAATGAATGAGGAAAAAAATTGAAACAAGTGATACTTTCTTTCTTTAAATGGTATATTTGAAATAAGAGTAAAACACTGCAGTAAAAAGAATGGACTTAGTACCAACTATTCCTGCCTGGTAAGTACAAGGAATTAAAAGGCACATTACTTTGAAGATACAAGTAATATAATGCCAGATAGTATTCAGAATTCAAATTAACACTATGACAGACTGCTTGTGATGACACCGGAATTCCAGACCATACTAGAAGTAAACAAATAATTTCCAAACAGATAATTGATTTTACTCCCAATACACTAATTTTCCAGAGCTAAAGAAGACAGACTAACCACAAAAATAATGGAACTTGGGCCAGGCACAGTGGCTCACGCCTGCAATCCTAGCATTCTGGGAGGCCAAGGCAGGCGGACTGCTTGAGCTCAGGAGTTCAAGACCAGCCTGAGTAATGAACCAGACCCGTCTCTACTAAAAATAGAAAACTTAGCTGGGTGTCTATAGTCCCAGCTAGTCGGGAGGCTGAGGAGGAGGATCTCTTGAGTTCAGAGGTTGGAGGTTGCAGTGAGCTGTGATGACATCACTGCACTCTACCAGGGGTGACAGAGCAAGACTGTCTCAAAAGAAAGAAAAAGAAACTCATTCATAATAAATAGTTTGTGGGTTAAGCTCAGATTTTATCAAACAGCTGAACTGAGACAGTATCAAAACGTGAACAGCTAATATGCATTACTTAGTTACTTAGTAAATACAAATGTTTCCTCATTAATCCAATTCAAAAACCTTGACTTTTTATATTACTTGAAATCATTACTAATGGGATTGGCAATATTAAACAAGAGTAAGGGGGCTGGGTGGGGTGGCTCACACCTGTAATCTTAGCACTCTGGGAGGCCAAGGTGGGATGATTGCTTGAGCTGAAGAGTTTGAGACCAGCCTGAGCAAGAGCAAGACCCC